ACTGCAGCACTTGCCCAGCCCCCAGTTCCCACAATGCACTGCAGCCCTTACCCAGCCCCCAGTTGACACAATACACTGCAGCCGCAACCCTGCACTGCAGCTCTCACCCAGCCCCCAGTTCCCAGAATGCACTGCAGCCCTCCCCGTCCCCCTGCCAGTCTCCAGGATACACTGCAAGCTGTCATCCAGCCCCAGTTCCCACAATGCACTGCTGCAGCCCTCACCCAACCCCCCCCAGCTCCCACAATGCACTGCAGCCCCCTCACACTCTAGGGAGCAATGACACGGTGAGGAAGGCTGCAGGAGGGTCTCTAGGGCGTTGGAAACCTCTGCCCACAGACTGCAGAGCTTTTACCCGCCCTGTGTGGTAAAGAGAGGCCAGTCCTAGTGTGGATGCAACACCACACAGGGGTAATGGTGTGTGTCCTGGCATTGCCATCCCTGCACAGAGCAGACATAGCATCTACGGACTGGGCTGGCTGATAAGGCGTGATGCTGGCCCAGTGCTGGGGGGAGAGCAGGGCTAGTGGGTAGAAAGCTGGTTCCCCCAGTCCAGCTGCAGGGCTCACGCTAGGAGCTCTATATAGTCACCCTATGGGCACTGCTGTCAGGTGTGACAACACAGCAAGTATATGGCTATGCTGGGAGCACAGCGCCAGGGACCCATGGGAAAGGACCAAAGACAGAGCTGGGATTTAGAGACTAGCATAAAACCTGTGGGTAGAGATCAGCTGGCTTGTAACCTCTCCTTGTTTGGGGAATACGGACACTGAGGCTGGACGGAAGGCACCCCGTAGCTACGGATTGCTGGGGTGGAGTGAGGAAATGCACATGCCCTCTGAGGCCTGGTCTACACTACGAAGTTTAGGCTGACAGAAGATGCCTTATGTCAACCCATTTGTGCGTGCGTCTACAGTCCAATGTGTCCCCTGCCAACGTGTGTGCCCCATTACGGTGAGCAGCCAACCCACATCCCCAAAAGCATAGAGCAGACCTGCTGAGGCTGATGCAGTGCAAACCTACACGCTACATGACACATGTTGAATCCAACAGTCCTCTAGCAGCTGTCCCACCATGTCCAATTCCCTGGGACAGTGACTGCCCTGCTCACAACTGTGAACTCTACTGCACAGGACATGGGCTCACAGACAGCAGAAGCCATCCCCCTGGTTTTGAAATGCCTTTTCCTGATAGCCCAGCTTGGCAAGCACACTTGAGCCATGCCAGAGGTGAATTACACCAGCTCCACACTCCTGCCTGGAGCAGACAGGAGATAGTGGATCTCTTGGGCCTGTGGGGAGAAGAGACTGTGCATACACAGTTAGGGACCAGCTGTAGAAACGTGGACATCTACACCCAGATTGCACAGGTGTATGACAGGGATCAGCAGCACTGCAACATGAAAGCAAAGGAATTTCGCCAGGGATACCACAAGACCAGGGAGGCCAACAGTCGATCTAGTGCTGCCCCCCGGCACTTCTGTAGGGAACCATGGTGGAGCCCCCACCAGCATACTGGGGTTACTTTGGTGGAGCCCGAGACAGAGACCACTACAGAGAAGAGCAAGGAGGAGGGGGAGACGTGGCGAAGGACTCCAGCCAAGCTGCAAGCCAGGACCACAGTCAGCCAGTCCCGCCAGTCAAGCACGGATGAGGGGAGGGGAACGCAGAGAAGCATGTGCATGCATTTTCCCTTACAGTGTTTAAATTTAAATATGGTGCCTGGCCCTTCCCCAAGTTAACCAGACACATGTATCGATGTTTCCTTGTTTGACTCTTACAAGAAGAGGTAGTGGTGCAACAAACAGAGGTAGGGCTGGCATCTGCTTTTCATTCTCCTGTTGGGTTGGAGGCGGGGGCATGAGGAACGCTTTATGTCCCTTGGATCCTCCTGAGAGATCTCCAGGAAAGGTTCAAGCAGATTCTCTGCAATCCTCTCCCAAAGGTTTCTAGAGAGGGCTGCCTTATTTCTTGCTTGGAGGACTCCTCTACTGCTCCTTTTCTGGGATGGGTGTGGCAGGACCCTGAGGCCCATCACACCCAGGAGCGGCGCCAGGGTTTTTGGCGCCCTAGGCGGAGGTCCTTCCGCGCTCCCGGTCATCGGCGGCAATTCTGCGGCGGGGGGGTCCTTCCGCGCTCCCGGTCTTCGGGGCACTTCGGCGGCGGGTCCCGGAGCGAGTGAAGGACCCGCCGCAGAATTGCCGCCGCAGTCCCGGAGCGCGGAAGGACCCCCTGCCGCCGAATTGCCGCCGAGGGCAGCAAAATGCCACCCCCCCAAATCCTGGTGCCCTAGGCGACCGCCTAGGTCGCCTAAATGGAAGCGCCGGCCCTGATCACACCCCCGTAGTGGATTTTCCAACTCCAGAATGATTCCTACTGACCGGCAGCAATCCTGCATTGCAAACGTCCAGAGAGTGATCTCCACACACTTCTCCATTGTCAGTGCAGCCCTCATTCTGGTGTCCCTGCACTGGAGGGCTGGGGCAAGCTCAGCACACAGATCCAGGAACGTGGCCTTTCACATCTGAAAGTTCTGCAGCCACTGCTCGTCGTCCCAACCTGCCTTACGATGCGATGCCACCAGTCAGTGCTCATTTCTCGGGCCTGGAAGCAGTGCTCCGGTGTGAATGCCACAGACAATCCTGAACTGTTTGTCGCTGTCCCTCAGCAAAGTGTCTTTGAAGAAATCTCATGCCCCGCATTGGTGCGGTTCTTCCTGCGGGACTGCCCATACAGAACTGCACGTCCTGGGTTTGCAATGTTCATGAGAACAGTGCAGAGCGCTGCAGGCTCCGTGCTTCTCTCACGGACGGCAGAGACAGAAGAGTGACAAAAGGGTTTGGGGATTTAAAAAAAAAAGACACGAAAATGATGGGATATGGATGGCATTATGGGATGGAGAAAGCTGCAAGCTAGGAACTTGACCCCCTAGTTCCCAGATCCCTGGGCAAGTCGTACCAGTCCCACAATACATTGTGAAAATTTCCCAAAAGGATATTGGAATACCTGCCCATGGCAGCACCAACACAAGCAGCCAAGTACACACACGCCCGAGCGATATACAAACTTTAGCAGTTGTACGCCTTGTGTAACGTGCGTGGACCAAAGTCTTAGACACGGCCTGTAAGTGTCTTTAGTTAATAGGCCAGAAGGGGCCCAGTCTGGTGTCTGCATCACCCAGGTTGGGCAAACCCAACCAGTGAGCCCTGCCTACTGACCTCTGACCGGGCTACAGCAAATACATGTGGTCCTGATGTACTGACTGCCAGGGATGCAGAATCCCCCATGTTCCAGGCCAGTTGTTCTGTCAGTTCCCCTCCCTGGTAAACACTGACCTCTTATTTCTAGTCTGGGATTATCCAGCTTCAGCTCCAGCCAGGCTCTACCTTTGCTGGGGGAGCGCAGAGCCCCCTGCTCTCTGAAATCTCCTACCCAGAGGCACGGAGACACTGAGTCCACTGAGATCCTTCAGCCTCTACCTGCCCGGCAGGTTCCCAGCCCTCCCTTCTTGTAGCTCTTCTCCAACCCCACCCCACTTGTCCCTGTCCTGTTTGCAGTGAGGACATCCTCTGTCTAGCTGCCTGGCTGCTATCTCGCTCTCATATGTGGGTCACCTGATTTGGGATCCGGTGGGAATTTCCCGCCAGATCAGACTGGTAGGGACTTTTGGGGGGTTTCACCCTCCTCTACAGCCTGAGGCAGGGGTTACCTGCTGGGATAGAGTTGGGCAGATCGCACCTGATCAATTCCCTGCCATCGCCCTCGGTCTCGCCTCTCTGCCTGACACACAGAAATCAGTGCCTTGAGGACTGAAATGCTTTCATCTGACTGAAGTCCCTGGGCTCGGTCCAGGGGTGTCTGCGTGCAGTGTAACACCTGGGCCATGAAGATCAGAGCAGATGAGCCCATCTGGCCTTAAACTGCATGAAACTATGAATATACACCGTACCCAGTACCAGTCTCACGAACATGATCCCCTCCCCCTGCTGATCCAGCCCAGCCACGCACTCACCCTCTTAGCCACAGCCCCACGCTGGGAGCCTTGGGCAGTTCAATTCCAATGGGACCCTGCCGTTCTTTCCAGCGTCCCTGCTCTCCAGGACACAGGCCCCACATCCGGCACGCAACCCCTCCTCTTGGTTCCTTTGCCCTTGCCCATGTTGAGGCACATGCTGTTTGGATGCACGCACTGTACCAACGATGCAGCTCGCCCTGCAGTACTGTGTGTCCCCGGCGTTACTCACCACTTCTGCACCTGTATGCTTCACCAGCAATGGGCCTATGTTTCCTTTCAGCTCATCAATACAGCCATTGCCCAGCCCCGGGCTGAGCCCAGAGGGACACCCCCCCAGGGGTGACTAGTCCCCCTTTATCAATTGTCCCTATAGCACAACGATCGCTTTGCGCTCATTGCTGTCAGTTATAGCCGGGGAGGATGGGAGTCAGGACTCCCAGGTTCTATTCCTGGCTGTGGAATGGGAGTGGTTATCTAGTGGGTGGGGGGGCACTGGGACAGTTGGGCTTGGTACTTGCAGATCTTGGGCATGAGAGGGGTTGAAGGTCACAGTAATAGTGACCCCGTGACCTGCTCCCATCCCACTCCCCCTCTGGCAAATGGGGCTCCTCTCATTCCCCTCCCTGGCCACACACGGAGCAGGCCCTGTGGGCAGGGGCTTTCCCCTTGGGTACCACCACCCTCAAGGGCTGTACTCGAGGGGAGGCGGGCCAATACCGTGACCAGAACCCACCTGCCCTTGCCTGGGTGTGGGTGGGGCTGGCATCCAGGCTGGGGGTGGAGGGTCGCCCCTGCTGCCCTCCCCGCTTGACTGGGGCCCAGTTCCTCCCTCAGGCAGAGGAACGGATATTCCCAGGGTCCCCCGCAAGGCCAGCACAGCGCTTGGCTGAGGGCTCCCACTCCTTGCTCCTGCTCCCTCTGCAGGCCACAGGGCACTCTGTGACCACAGCAAAGCCTGAGTCTGTGCTGCGATGATGAGAGCTCAGAGCTCATACATGGGGTACGCTGAGGGGCTACCAGGCTGTCCCCGCTGGCTGAATGAGGGGCTGGCCTCTCGCTGGACAGGGGGCCATGGTGAGGTCCCTGGGACGAAGTGGGAATGTCCTGTAATATTTGACCCCAATGTGGGCCTCGGTTTCCCCTCTCTGTCACATTATTATGGGGGGGATTGTTTGCTCTCAGGGCCCGCTAACGGTATGTCCACACTAGACACCCATGGCTGGCCCCTGCCAGCTGACTCATCTGTTGAACTGCAGCGCAGACTTCCGGGCTCAGGCTGGCACACAGGCTCTGTGACTGGGTGGGGCCCAGAGCTCACCCGGGCCCAGAAGCCTACACTGCAATTGAACAGGCATGTAGCCGGAGTCAGCTGGCACGGGCCAGCTGTGGGTGTCCAACTGCAGTGTAGACATGCCCTAAGAGACATAGGTAGGAATGGCACCCAGCTGTCTGAGCCAGGATGGGTCACTGAAAGGCCAATCGCCCATGCAGACCCACGTGCCCAGGACATGGACACCTAGCACCCAACACCCCAGAGGGGGATGGATTCCCCCTCTCTCCGCAGGGAAGCTGGGCACAGACTGGGGAGGTGGGGGATAAGGGCTGGCTGCTGGAAGGAATCAGGACTCTCCCCTGGGAACTGACCAAGGCGGTCAGATGTGGGGAGACAGAGCTGGAACAATGGGGTTCCCTACAGCTCGGCTGAGCTCTGGGCTGACCAGAATGGGCTCTGCTTGAACCTCCAGCTCTCTGTTCTGCGCTAAGGACAGCCTGTGCTGTGTGCGGCTGAGTAACAAACCCGACAGCTTTCACAACGCTGGCCAGTGTCACTGTCAATCCTGGCTGAGGTGCACTGCCCCTGCAGAGGGAACCCCTCTCTCCCAGAAGTCTGTCTCCCTGGGACTCGCTGGGCAGGGCAGGGAGCCTCCACCTCACCCCTGGCTGGGCCGTGTCACAGACAACGCTTTCCCAAAGGCATTTTATTGATGGGAAGTTTATAAAGAGTCACCTCTACAACCAGACCCACCCCCCATTCCCTGACCCTCTCAGGCACCCCCATGTCCCTTCTCACTGTCCTGAGGCCATGCACCCCCAGCCTTGTGCTGTGGGGACTTGCCCATCCCACACATCCCCCGCAGTCCTGTACCCTGGACCTGTTGGCAGGCTGTTCTCTCCTCCACCCCCAGGCACCTCCTCCTCTCCACCCCCAGAGTGGCGCTGTGGGAGCAGCTCTGAGGCTGTGTCGGTCCACGTGGCATCCAGGGGCTAGGAAGTGGCTGGCCCCTCTAGTGCCTGGCAGGGGGTGCAGCACCCCTGTGCTAGAAGGTGCCAGTCTGTGCAGCACCCCTAGCACTAGGAGGCAGCCGAGTGGGGCCATGCCATGCCCCAGCACTAGGAGATGCCAGTCTGGGCAGCGCCCCTGGCGCTAGGTGTCCTGCCCCTCACCGCCCGATGGGGCATGCAGCAAGCCAGGGTCGTAGAGGGGCTGCCCAGTCCAGAGGCGGGTGGCGAAGAGGTGGCGGCAGGGCCGGCGGCTTGAGACATATATGGAGCAGGAGCAGGCGGCCAGGTCGCGGCTCACCAGGAAGGAGCAGATGCCGCCATCCAGCAGGAAGCCCTCGGGCACCTCCTTGACGTGGTAGTTGGCGTGCTTGGCCAGGCCAAGCTCCTCGGCGATGAGCGCAGCACTGTCAGGCGGGCACACGGCGCGGTACAGCTCCGACACCCGCTCTTCATTGAGCGCCGCCATCTCCACCCGCAGCGCCTGAAGCTCCAGCAGCCCCCGCACGCAGGCCGCTAGCCCCAGGGGCGGGCTCAGCGCCGAGCGCAGCTTCTGCTGGTGGAAGCTCATGTGCTCCAGGAAGGGGCAGTCGCAGTTGCGCTCGAAGGCCCAGCACTCCGCCCACATGCCCTTGTTGTGGTGCCAGTGCTCCAAGTAGTACTGCAGGAAGGGCAGCGGCGCCACGTCCTCCAGGTCGCTGAGGTACTGGCTGTAGACGCGGGGCGAGCTGGCGTTGGCCATGTTGTGCAGCAGGTTGCGCACCTTGTCCTCCTTGGGCACAGCCAGCTCGCGCGCCTTGCGGTACAGCGCCTCCAGCACCTGCAGCCGGCAGATCTGCACCCGGGCACAAGGCAGCACCTCCTCCACCGCGTCCACGTCCGTGATGCTCGCCCCCACGGTCAGGCACTTCACCTTCAGCTTGATGTCGGGCGCGCTCTGCACCAGGGAGGCCACAATGAAGATGACCAGATCGGGCACACCCCGGCGGGCCACGCAGTAGGCGCACTCGCGGCCCCGCCCATTGCCGTCCTGGCAGAGCACCGAGTAGAGCTCGAACTCGCTGTTGACGCAGGCCGCCTTGTCCATGTAGAGGCAGCGGGGGAAGCGCTGCACCAGGCTCCGCATGTGCGACGTGGCCAGGAAGATGCTGTTGAGCACGGCCACGTCCTCTTGGAAGACCAGCTTGACCTTGGCGCCCGGGTCGCTCTTGAATAGGCCGTCCAGCTGGCTCAGCAGCTCGCACATGCCCTTGTCCTTGGCCTTGCTGTAGTCCTCCAGGTTCCAGATCAGGTCGGGCGCCAGGAACCGCTTGGACACGCTGTTGGTGATGCGGATGGGCAGCCCCATGCTGGCCTCCAGCTGGTGACGCTTGAAGTAGTGAGCAAACTCCACCTCTGACAACTTGTGGTTGTGCTCCAGGCTGGCCTCAATCACCACCAGCCGGTCCTTCTTGGGGCCCAGTCGCAGCGTGATGGAGGCCGGGCAGTCGATCTTCTCGCTGCTGGGGAG